TAGGGAACCGATTCCCCATCAGGGGTACCAATTCCCCCCACGCTCCAAGCAGAAATATTAATTGTTTTCACACTTAAACGGCTCCAAAAACTTCATTAATGATCCCCAACATTCAGAAGTGATTCAAGGTGTATTTAAGCAAGCTTAGAAGCCATTGATCAAAAACAAGAAACATCAAGCAACTAGAATCAAGAGAGAATCAAAGAGAAAGCATCAAACCTCAAGTTTGAGCATTTCAAGCCTATTTTTCATTCAATATTCATTTTGCTTTCAAGAACACTTATTGTTCTTAATTGAATTCATTTTTTAGTGTTCTTTTCTTTGTTCTAGAATTGTGCAAACAATCTACCTTGTGAGGTTTTCCTTGTAAGTTTGCAAATTTGTATTGTTCTCTTTGGGAGAGAGTGTTCTCAAGAATTTGAGGTATAATTCTTGAGGGTTTGTAAGGTTACTCTTTGTCCTCAAAAGAAAGACAAATTAGTGAATTTGTGGAAAATCCTTAGTGTGGATAGTTAAGGTAGTGGACGTAGACTTTGGTTGATAAAGTCGAACCACTCTAAATCGCTGTGCAATTACTTTCAATTTTCTACAAAAGCTTCCACCAAAATTTTAATTGCCAATTCACCCCCCTCTTGGCCGATTCCATCAATCGATTAACTCAACATCTATCATTATGAGGATTTTAAAAGTTTTCTTATTTGTAATTACTTTTTGGGAAAATTTGAACACTCAAGACTTTAGGGTATAAGTCTTAGTGTCGTGTAAGCTTAACCTTGTCCTAAAAGGTTATAACAAATTAGTGAATTTGTTGAAATCCTTAGTTAGGAAGCTAAGGTACTGGATGTAGACTTAATTAAGGAATTTGAACCACTTTAAAGTCCTTATGTCTATTATTATTTATTGCAAAAGCTTCTAACAATTTTTATTGCCAATTCACCCCTTCTTGGCCACTTTCCTTGATCATTCAACAGTCTTCGTTAAGTCTGTAGTATCCAAGGTACATAATGAAGGAATCAAATCCCTTATACCAACATCTTGGAGCCTTCTTTAAATCGTACAAATATTTGTTCAACTTACAATCCAAGTTCTTCTTTTCTTTTTCTTCAAAACCTAAAAAGTTGGAGCATGTAAATATCTTCTTCAAGATCTCCATAAAGAAAAGTTATTTTAATATATAGTTTCTCTAGATGTAAGTTCAATGTAGCAACATTGCCAAGACTACCCGAACAATTGTTAGTCGAACCACATGAGAAAAGATTTCATTGAAATTGATACCTTCTTTTCAGCATATCCTTTGACCACTAATCTTGCACGAGCTTTCTACTTGATCATCACCATTTCTCTTGATTTTGAAGACACATTTGCTACCAACTGTCTTCCTTCATTGTGGTTGTGGCACAAGGTCTCATGTATTATTTTTGTGAATGGATTCAATTTTTTCTTTCATTCTTATCATCTACTATGAAATATATTAGTTGTTTATTGCCTCTTCAAATGTTGATGGCTCACTGTTTTCTGTTAAAAGACGACATGAAATATTACCTTCTATAACATAATCTGAGTGCCAATTGGGATGTCTTTTCACAAAATTTGATTGACGAGTTGTTGGAGCTTTAGAAGTCTATGGTTCTTACTCATCATTTATGGTTCTACTTCATAAGAATCTCTTTTTTCAAACTCATTTTCAACATGTATATGTGTAGTCTCTGACTTTTCAGTGTTATCATCTGCTTGTTTTCTTTGTAGCTTATCTTTTACAAAGATAACATCCCTACTAATAATCACTTTACGGGTTCCCAGAAACGATACCCTCTTACTCCATCAACATACCCCAAGAATTTATATTTTCTGGATTTTAGATCCAACTTTAAAATTTCTTGGACATTGTACATCACGTACACAATACTTCCAAATATATTGAAGTTTTAATAATCAACTGGTTTACCAGTTCACATCTCCATTGGTGTCTTCAGCTCTATTCCAATTGATAGAGCTCGATTCTCCAAATAACATGTGGTATTGACTGCTCTGCCCAAAACTATTTTTCTAGGCCTACTCTTGTTCTTTCCAACAAGGTTATATTTATCCACTCTGCCACTCGATTTTGTTGAAGAGTGTTTGCCACTGTGAATTGTCTTTGATGCCTTCTTTCCTGCAAAAGTCATCAAATTCTTCACTTGTGTATTCTCCTTCATTATCTGTTCTGAAACATTTGATCTTATTACCATAATCAAGTTTCATCTTTTTAAAGGCTTTGAAAGATGAAAACACAAATGACTTCCTCTTAATAGGGTACACCTAACATCTCCTAGAGTAGTCATCAATAAACGAGACAAAGAACTTTGCTCCTTCTTGGGATATGACTGATGCTTACCATACATCATAATGAACTAATTCTAGAATACTATTGCCTCTATAATTTAATGTGTTGAATTGTAACCGATGTTGTTTAATTGTTATACAATGCTCACACAAAGAAAGTGATACCTTTGTTATGCTTGGAAGTAGCTTTTTCTCCATAAAGACTTTCATGACTTGTTATGACACGTGTCCAAGTTTCTGATGCCATAACATTGCATAATTTGAACTACATGAGTCAATTGAGGCTTCTGCTTCAAGCAAAGTCTCTCCCTTCAACATGTATAAATTCACTGTTATCTTGTCGCCTTTCATCACCATAAGCGCTCTATGGAATAGTTTCGTGGTTCCTCTTTGTGTTTCGATCTTGCTTGCATTATTATCGAATAATTCGTAAGATAATAAAATTTTCTTCAAGCCTTTCACGCATCGTACATCTCAAACAACTTTAATTGTTCCATCATACATCTTCAATTTGATGGTTCTAATGCCAACCATTTCCAAGGTATGATCATTGCCAATGTACACAGATCCTCGTGAGATAGGTTCATAATGATGAAACCACTCTCTTCTTGAGGTCATATGATATGTTGATACGAAATCAATAAGCCATATACCTGCAAATCTCTTTCTATCTTCCATGGTGGTTGACGCTTCACAACATAGAGCATTTACATCATCTAAGTGTTTGCGATATTGCCTTGTGGGTTGGAGTTTTTAGCTAAACTCCAACAATCCTTCTTCAAGTGACCCTTCTTTCTACAGTTGTAGAACTTTAAATTCTTCTTACTTCTCGACTTTGATCTACCACAATTATGACTGCTACTTTGACCACGTTCTGTTGATCTCCCTCTCATCACTATCAACATCTCTGCTTATTGCATACTCACTTTTCTATATCCCTTGCTCTTACACCAATTTTATTCTTGTAGAACAACGGCTGCAACATCATCGAAGACTAGATTGGTGGCATTACTATTTGTCAAGTTTATGATGAGTTAATCATACGAAACATGTAGACTTTTAACTATAAGTTCAACAAGTTCTTGTTCTACCATTGTACATCTTAAAGATGTAAGATAAGAAAATAAAGTATTCAATGTATTTAAGTGCTATGTCACTGAAGTAGATTCTGACATCCGAAGATTGTACAATTTCCTCTAAAAGAAAATTTTATTATGCAATAATGTGGTCTCGTACAATTTGGTGAGATGATCACAAATCTCCTTGATTGTCTTCTTCTCCTTGATGCTTGACAATATTTCATTTGCTAATGCTAGATGAATGTTTTCCGTAGAATTTCCATTCACCTCGTTCCATTTGTTATCATTTGCGAAATTTATGGACCTATCACTGATAGCCGCTAGACAACCATCTTTCCTCAAGTGGAACGACAAAGACAATAAGTAGATATTACACACCAAAATCAGACTCTAATACTAATTGTTGCGAAATATGGTCGTTGGATATAGAGCAAAATCGCAACTGATAATTTGAGAAAATAACAATTAAGATAAAAGAGACAAATTTTAAGTGGAAAACCCCTAATAATATAGGGTAAAAACCATGGACAAAGGTAGAAGAATTTCACTATGAGAAAATAGGAATTACAATTTATTTTGATCTAACAAAGAGAAAACAATAACAATTCTCTCTTAATAAAAATGAGAAACAACTCTTAAGAAAACTCTCTAATTTCTCTGGTATTGGAAAAAAGCTGAAATGATTTGGGATGATTTTGAAGCTAAAATGACTAGGGTATTTATAGTTGAAGCTTAGGGATTAATCTTGTAAATAGCCTAAAGTGTAAGGACTAAATGAGTAATGTTTCCCTTGCCAATTTTCAACCAAAATCAGCAGGAAATCTTTAATTTTACCCTCTGCAGCAAACGGTGCATTGATGCACCGAAATTATATTTTTGACTTTAAACATGTTGATGGTATATGTACAAGTAACTGGCACTAAAAGTGGGTTATGACATAAAAGATATCCTATTAGTTTGAAAAGAGGATTGGATAGATTTTCGATTGACAAGAAATGGTTTAAACATATAAGTGATTGGTTTGAGAAGAGGATTGGATAGATTTTCGATTGAAAATAAATGGATTTTTGGATCCAGTTCCTTCGAACAAATTGGTTTGAGAAGAGCCGTATTCGATCTGTCAACATGTGATCTTGTTTGGGGTCCTAGACTATATAAGTTCATGTATGGATGGCTTAGATCGGACGATTGCAAGAATTTGATTAACGATGTATTGAAGAGTGGTTCGGGGAATAAATCAGTCCTTGAGATCAAGTTGAGGAGACTGAAAAGAGCTTTGAAAGAGTGGAATCATAAGTCATGCGGGAATTTCACATCTAAGGTGGCTCTGCTGGAAGATAAAATTCATTCTAGCGAGGAAGCGGGCAATGCTTGGATGATCAGGGTCAAAAGGATCTTATTTTATATAGAAGAGAGTTGTGGGAAATGTTGAGGGCACAAGAAGATGTCTAGAGTAAAATGGCTGATGCTGGGAGATTCGAATACGGCGTTTTTAATATCTCATTTAAGTTCTGAGCCCATAAGAACATGATATCGCGGCTAAAATTTGGTGAGTGAAGTAATGTTTCGAATAATTATTGGATTGTTAGACACAAACTAAATAAAAATAGAAGGATTTATTGCATCGCAAAATATTAATAGTTTACAAAGTTTCATGTATCTTTTGTTATCTCTTGCTCATATACATATTACAGTAGACAGGAAGGATTGGTCCCCAGTGCTCTTCGGGTTTCACTGCTTGTCGTTGTGAATCCGATTGATCGTAAAATTAGTGAAGATATAAAGAGCTTGGGATGGTTGAGAAAATGTAACATGATGATCACCTCCTTTCACTATGAAGAACGTCAATAAGTCTCCAAATGAATACTTCCTCCCTCCATCCTGCTCAATATTGTAATTATAAAACAAATAATTGTAATTATAAAACAAATAACACGTTAAATGCATAAAAAAGCTAACCTTGTTTTCATAACTCCAGGTTTCTTCTTTTGTAGATTTGATGTTTAAGTCCTCGGCCAATTTGTACAAATGTTGTAAGGTTCCCACTGCAGGCACCAGAGCGTCTACATCTCCGCTGTAGCATTACAATCAAATGCAAATAAGATCGAACAAAAAAAATGTCATTAGAACGGCATACAATTTTTATTGAACATAAAGAAAAAGAAGATGAATAAATGTCGACCTGAATATTGTAATGTGAACCGATTGTTGGAGAAGCCTTTTTAAGGCGGGAAGCATGTCACGGTTCTTATCATTCTCGTTGAACTTAAATTTATCCCTACATCGATTAAAACGAGATACGATGAAAAGTTTATTTTTTAAAAAATTAATTTTGGGTAAGTCACCCAGACTCTAGAGACGAACTTACGAGTAACAACCCTTCCATGAATATGACAAGCTGGTTCGGTTCCCGTGGAAAGCTTTCTGAACTTCCGGAAGATTAAAATAGAATTGTGCCCTTGGGGCAGCACATGTCTGCCCCATGACTAACCTTGGTAAGCTGGACGAAAATCGAAGATTTATCGCAATGATATCATTGATAAAAGAAAAATATCGTGTTGGGAAATATACCGAGTACAAGTAATTTCTCTATAACCAGATTAGTGAGAATGCGAAATAAAAGCGGAAAAATAATACCCGAAATTGATAACGGAGTTCAGCCAATTGTGCTTACGTCTCCGGACTGCTGCATATCTTTTACTAAGAGAGAAAATTTACAGGTGTTTACAAAACACTCACTACTCACAAGAAATCTCTCTAGTATTGGGAGAAAGAAATGATTTTTGGGATTTGGGATGATTTTGAAGCTAAATGAGCTAGGGTATTTATAGTTGAAACTTAGGGACTAATCTTTGAAAATACCCTAAAGTGCAATGACTAAAGTGAATTTACCCATTCCTATTTTCAACAAACATCTATCAAACTTTACCAAACTTTGAAAAACATTTTTCAAAGAAACATTTACCAAACTTTGAAAAACATTTTTCAAAGTTGGTTGCCAAACTTTGAACTAACTTTTAACAATCTCCCACTTGAAGACTGATTTTAATCTGTCTTCACACCTTGATCAATGCAGCAGTATTTCTGGTCTTGTTATTTTAGCATGCCAACTGAAGCTGAACACAACTTCAGTTTGTCCGTAGTCACCGTCTTTGTCAACATGTCTGCCGGATTTTGAGCTCCACTAATCTTTTCAAGTTTCAAAATCCCATCTTCCAGAAGAGATTGGATAAAATGATATCTCAATTGTATGTGCTTCGTCCTGGAATGAAAAGTCGGATTCTTTGCTAAATAGATAGCACTTTGACTGTCGCAATACAAGACATTGTTTTCTTGTTTCTTGCCTAACTCTTCCAAGAAACTTTGGAGCCAAACCATCTCCTTCCTAGCTTCCGTAACAGCGACATATTCTGCTTCAGTTGTGGAGAGAGCAACTATCTTCTGTAGTTGAGAAACCCAACTCACTGCAGTTCCTCCTAGAGTATAGATATACTCTGTAGTGCTCCTTCTGATGTCAATATTTTCGACTAAGTTAGCATCTACATAGCTATCAATATCGTATCTCCACCTTTGAAACAAAGTGCTTTGTTTGTGGTACCCCGCATATATCTGAGGATCAATTTGACTGCTTCCCAATGTACCTTGCCTGGATTATTCATATACCTGCTAACAGCTCCCACTGCATGAGCAATATCTGGTCTGGTACATACCATGGCATACATCAAACTTCTAATTGCTGAGGCATACGGCACCTTTACCATGTGTGCACGTTCTTCCTCCGTCTTTGGTGACTGTTCTTTGGAAAAAACATATGAAGTGGATGAAGTATTTCTCTTAGAACCTGTAGTCTGAATCAGGTCGTCGAGCTAACGATGTTAAACAAAAGCACTTCGTGGGAGGCAACCCATTGTTTTTAATTTCGTTACATTTTTATTTTATTTTATTTCGTTTAAGCAAATCTAATTTAATTATTTCTTTTATTTTTAGGGACCAAATGTTTTCTATCGAGCTTAAACGAGGTAGATTTGCAAATTTATATTCGAACAGTGACAGAATTCAATCCCTAAATAACAGCACCTTTCGCGCAGATTAGTGGAACAACATGTTCCAACACTATGTGCATTATTTCATTACACGGCGCACATTAGCATCTCTACTAGCAGGTCAGCACATGTTAGCAAAACACATATCACTTTCTGCCCCCATTTTAAAGCATGTATCTACTGTAGCCCTTTCACCATATCTATTCCCTTTCTTATTTTTCTTTGACCGCGAGCCCCACCTATCTTATCTCTCCTTATCTTTTTCAATTTTAATCCAATTTCACTTAAATTAAACCACCCACGTGCTTTTTAACCTAAAAAAGAAAACAAACCAACGCCTTTCCTGCCTATTTTCTTTACCAACCCAATTTCTCATCCCAAAAAATAGTCCATCGCCTCTTTCCTCCGCCACGCTCGCACTTACTGTCCTTACCGCGTCATTCCATTCGATCCAATATACTTTTACCCGTCTGCTGCTACTTGTAACAGTTTGCACTAGGAACCAACAACACCATGAGGCCGCGCCACCAACCGTCCTCGTTGGGCATCGCCGCTCAACACTATAACTTTTGTTGAAGTGCCCAGTGAATCTGAGCCACAGCCACTACAACTTACTCCTCGCCCGACATGAGCTCTAGGCCACGCACCCAACTTTGCACCCGCACCATATCATTCGGCCTTCACACCCACCGCCTCTCTCCGCCCAAGACCGAGCATTGTTCCTCGTCCATCTCTGCCACACTTTCCATCACTGTCCTTCCATTCCATACCAACCGTGGCCACCTCTTCCTCTCAACCACGCCTATTGGATTTCCCATTGTGTTTCATGTATTTGGCGGCATTGAACAATACCCTGAAGGTAAATTTTGATCCTATTTTCATTCAGCCGTTACTAATGTACCATTTCATTTATGGTTTTATAGAATATTTAAATGTCAGTTTTCCACCGACCACCTGACCATACTTCTAGTTCACGGTATCAACCCGGACAACCCACTTTTTCATCCCAACACCTCCCACTGTGGCCGTGGTCGACAATAAATCCGGGGAGTACTCTATTCCTTTTCTTGTACTTTAATTTTACATTTTGGGGAAAACACTTTAAATGAGGGGGGAATAGAGTCTAAGATGAATTTCCCTTTGCTTATCTCTATGTTTTGATTCTAGTATGTGTTGATTGGATTTGCGAAAAATTTCATTGAATTCCTTTGTCTTGTTGAATATTTTTGAAATGCCATGATTGTTTGGGAACACATACTTGTTTAGGTTAGATATTCTTGATAGCAAATAGCATGAATTGTGATCAAGTTAGATTTCTTGTGATATTCCATGATTTTGTTTGTTGAAATGTGCTTAGCTTAATGCATGAAAACAATTTGGTGAGATTTGAGCCTTTACAAGCATATCATTTTGCTCTCATTTTGTTAGATTGAGTGTGTCGAATTTGACATTGGTATTCTAGAACCTGCATTTTAAATATTGTCGAGATTACACATGAACATGATGCTTAAAAATGATTTGGGCACTTTAGGATTAACCACTTCATTTTCCCCACTAAAATTGCCTACCCATGCATTTTCCCATAGTTAACCTCTCTTGAGTCTATTTCCATTCTTTGTATTTACCACATTTATAAACCAAGCCTTGTTATTTTTCCCCTCTTTTCTACCTTTTTCAGGACAAGTGAACAGTTTATCTGATGTATGCTCCATGAACAAGGGAATTTTTTTGTGTGATGTGCAAAAGAGAGAAAAAAAATTAAAAAAGGTTATTATTTCATTTTTTTCGAGAAAAAATAGTTCGAAAAAAAAAACAGAAAGAGACATGAGAAAAAAATGGAAAAACAAAGCAACAAAACAAGTGTGGAAAAATCAAATTCAATTCGAAAGGAAATGTGTTGTTTGATGGTATTGTGTCTTTTATCTTGTTGTACTCGGTCGATTGATAGAGCATTACTTATTATTTGTAGTTCCTCGTCTTGAATTTTTTTCCCATATATTTAGCCTTATTCCCACCTTTACCTAAGCCCCGTTACAACCAATAAAGGACCCTTTGATTTATGCATTTTGTTCTTATTAGTAGTGGAGATTTGATTTATTTGCAGGCCTATGGTAATATCGTGTCGGTTTTGACATTGAGCGTTTCTATACCCCAAACACATTGAGTGAATCTTGGTAAGGTGTTGAATTATGGTCATTGAGATTGATGAATTAATGGATGTTATAATTGTATTTAAGTTGCTCCAATTGGTGTTATTCAATTGATTGGTGTCTTGACTTGGATAATTATTGTGGTCTCTACCTTACCTCATTGAATGCGAGACTTGTCAAAGAAAGGTATTTGATTGTATCATACTTGAGGACAAGCATGAAATAAGTGAGGGGGAATTTGAGTGTTCTAAATTGATATTATTTGCTCGTTAATTCTTCGATCTTATGAATTTATTGCTGCTAATTTGGTTGTGTTATGCTTATTTTCGTGCAGAGTCTTACTTTCCTGATTTAATAGTAAAACGAGTGCATTTTGCAGTTTTTATTATTTGGTCACGGCTTGAGACATAGGAATGACTCTGGGCATGACACGATCTGATCACGTGGAAATTTCTCGAAGGTCTAGTCAACAATAGTTTTTTAGAAGATATAGGCAGCGCCTTCTGGAAGATGGATGGGCATAAATATTAGGATACTTGTTTTTAAATTTTAAAGTTTGAATTTAGAAAACATTTGAAATTATCTTTAGGATTATTTTTATTTTAATTTCTATGCTTATCTCTAGGTTTTTAGATGCTATAAATACCCTCTTGGAGCAAGCCTAAACACACAACTCATAATTTATCCTTCGTCTCCATTATAGTTTTATAAAAGTTCTCTTTTATTTTTCAAGTTTTCATTTTTCTTTTATTTTAAGATTTGTTTTTAAATATGCTAAGTATGACTTTTTTCATGTTTAGATAATTTTCTCATAAGCCGAGAGCTGAAGCGATGAGTAAATTCCAACATGAGAATTGAAAAACACTTGAATAACTTCGGAATATCTCTCTCAATCTCTGAGTTTATTTTCAAAATCAAAACAATTTTCAAAATCAAAACAATTTTCAAAATCAAAGATTGACTTTGGTCAAGATGTTGTTGCTATTAAATGTGTGCGAGCAAGGATCGACTTATTGAAAGCACATTCGACTTCCTGGGAACACACTTGGCTAGATTGCCTTGCCAAGAGGGAATTGAGATCGGAATTAGTATTTATTGAAACAGCAATCCGAGTCAGTCTTCACGAACTTAAACTGTTATTGATCTACGATAATTGATGTTGATCAGATCAATTTCCGAAGCTGGAATCAAAGAATGCCTCAAGTATTTGGTATACAAAGAAGAGTCACGAGGATTGCCCTTGTAGACAAAGTAATCGACGTGAATCCCGAAGGGAAAATTTAATTCGATGATCCGAAGGAAATTGAGTCAAAGCAAGGCTTGAGGCTGTTTTACCATATTCATTTTCAACCTTCAAATTTTATTCTTTATTTTTCTTTAAATCGCTTTTTATTTTTTTAAACATTTTTACTAAAACCCCCTTTTTACTACTTATTTCCTGATATAAGCAATTCAAACAGAAATTTGGAATTTTCT